TATACTGGCATTAATGTTAATTTGTAGACAGTTTGGCAATTGCAAATTAACAACATACCCGTGTTTGATGCCCAAAACCTTAAAACTAAAATATTAAACAAGTCGTTACCTACTAAGAAATACCAGGCTTGAGGTTCTTTTTATTGTCTTTAAAAAATAAAATAAAAATCTGTTAACAAAACGAGTCTTTGGTTATTGTGTTAAACCCTGTGTGTCCTTCAACTGTTCATTCTGAATAAAATCTAAAACCCATGTATCATTGTTGTTTTGTTTCTCTTCTCCCAGCTGAGAGAAACGGACGCAAACCTGGGCAAGAGTTCTCGCATCCTCACCGGCATGCTGAGAAGGTAAGATGCAGGTAGGACCACTGTTTCTGCACTTTTTTGCATGCATCGTGCTTTAACAGTGTGAGAGAACGGGAAAGATCGAATAAAAAGACCTATAAACAAATAACTTTTTACCTAGTATTTGTTTTACATACGTTATTAATTGCTATTTTTGTTCATTGAAGTGTAATTAATTGCATTACAGTATGTTTTTAGTCTACTGTTTGTAAAGGTTAACTATATATGAGTTAAACACATTGCTGTTTGCTCGAACGCCACAGTACTGATGCTTTGTGTTTGGATAGATGCAGAAAAGAGCAGCTCAGTAAAGCATCCAGCAGAAACAAACAACTTAAAAAGACAAGTGTACACTGTGTATGTCTCCATTTTTTTCTTCTGCTTTCCTTTGTTTTTCACCAAATGCACTTACTGCCCAACTTGTCTGTTTCTCTCGCTTGCTGGGCCACGCACAAAGCAGCTCCAAACAAACTGCGCAAACACAAGCATTCAGCTGCAAGTATATCAAATAGGCCTTGCATTATTTTGTGTGCAACCCTCCAAACACACACAAAAGAACACACACACAGAGTTAATATCTTGTCACATCTCCATTTCATAAAGCGCCCGTGTGCTTTCTCCTGAACCGTGACGCCGCAGTTTTGTCTCTTGTTCTCTGTTGTTGTTTTTATTTCTTCTTCTTCTCCCTCTCACCCACTGTGGATTTTGATTAAGAGTAATATGTAAATGACACCGACTAAATGTAAAATCCCAGGGCAGGAAGGAAGTGCCAATTGAAATAGATGCTTCAGTGCCCATAGACAATTTGCCGGGCGGCTCACAGGGCAGCCAGCAAATAGTAGGCCTGAGGAGGGCTGTGACGCCGACTGTAACCAATATTTCTGCATATGTCTCCATTTTGTCAAGTCTGATTATGGGAAGAGAAGTGAATAGGGGGTGGGGGTGTGGGGGGGGTCACCTCGCCTGGCATGTCACCCAAAGCTGTCCAGAAATCATTCATCATTCCCTCCTCCCTCTTCTCTTTTTCCCTCCACCTCCTCTGGTGCTGAAGTAAATAACACGCACTTATTTCAATATTATCATATTAATGTTAAAGTTCAGCTGTCACCTAATGGGAAAACTTAATCAGACGTAGCATTTTAAGAGGCGTGCTGCCACCCCTCTTCTCTTCAGCCCCTCCTCTTGATGTGTCTTAGCTCCTCTGGTTAGCGCCCTGCTCAAATCAGGATTTATGAGGGCTTTCCAAACTGAGGCTCGGCTACAAGCCTCTTCGACTGCTGACTGCCTCCACCCCTCCTCACCCTTCTTTCACATTTTCTGCTGTTTGCATAAAAAGAAAACACTTTTGTTTTAAGGTTGTGGAATGGGGAAACGTCAACGCTATAGTCATTTAAAACCAGAGAGGCAGAACTGAGAGCAAAAATGATGTGCAGGAATCTTCTCCCCAACCCCTTCTAGAAGTTTGTTCTTGATTTTTATTTTATTGATAATTAATGTTTTTTATATCGATAGAAGATGTTTGCTTTGTTGTTGTTGTACTTGGTGGATGTACAGCGTGTGCGAATAAATGGGTGAGGTAAATATTGGCTACACAAACTAAAGGTGCACAGAAAATGTATGTGGCATTTTTAAACCTTTTAAACAAGAGCTTATAAACTTTTAAACATTTTTTTCAATGAACTCGGTAAAAGGTTAAATAAAATTACATCAGCATAAACTTTACTACAAAAGGTAAAGTCCAGGAAAATAACCCTACTTGTTTAAGTTGACTTTTATTTAGAGTCAGTATAAAATATATACTTATTTTTTGTTGTTTATTTATTAATTTATTTTTGTTAATGCAGCTCACAATAAGTAGCGCTTCTTAAACCATCCTCCAGGTCCTCTGGTTGTCACCCCTGCTGAGAAACAATTATTCACTCATTACCCTCACTGCCATAGTTTCAGAAAGCTAATTAACTTTAAGACTCTGTGAATATCACTTATTGTAAGGAACATCTGGAAACCTGCACGTTTCAAATAGCTGTTGCTTTGTTTGAAAATAAAATGTTGGACCTTTCAGACTGGAAATCTCGTGTTTTGAGAGTTAGTTATGTTATTCAGTTCAATTCAGTTTATTTATATAGCGCCCAGTCACAACAGAAGTCGTCTCAGGGCACTCTAAGCATTCATATATAAAAAAAATAATAATTTAATAACATTATTTATCTGAGGAGCAGACTGCTTTGAATTTGACTTTATCGTAGACTCTCATCTTGAGCAAGCATGAAGGCAACAGTGGAAAGGAAAAACTCCCTCATGAGGAAGAAACCTTTAGCAGAACCAGGCTCAGGACAAGTTGCCATCTGCTTCGACCGGCTGGGTTTGAGAGGAATAGATACACAATGGCAGGTCAAGAATTAAAATCATATCAAATGAAAACTATTCAATTTTAACAATTCATTTTAAGAAATGTGGTCAATTTGTCCTCCATTAGTCTAAGCCTATGGCAGCATAACAAGCCAACCATAACTATAGGATTTATAAAAAAGGAAAGTCTTAAGCCCAGTCTTAAAACTGGACAATGTGTCAGCCTCACGGACAGAAACTGAAAGTTGGTTCCACAGGAGAGGAGCCTGATAACTGAAAGATCTTCCTCCTATTCTGCTTTTGGAAACTCCAGGAACCGTGAGTAAGCCTGCAGTTTTAGAGTGAAGTGCTCTGTCAGGAAAATATGGAGCAATAAGATCTCTAATATAAGATGGAGCTAAGTTGTTGAGAGCTTTGTAGGTTAGAAGTAAGCTTTTGTTATCAATTCTGAATTTGACAGGGAGCCAGTGGAGAGAAGCTAAAACTGGAGAGATATGATCTCTCCTACTAACTCCAGTAAAGACTCTGGCAGCAGCGTTTTGGATTAATTTAAGCCATTTTAAAGAAGTATTTGGACACCCAAATAAACCACTTCAATAGTTCAGTCTAGACGTGACAAATGCATGAACCAGTTTTACTGCATCATTTTTAAATAAGATGTTTCTAAATTTAACGATGTTACGCAGATGGAAGAAGGCAGTTCTAGTAACATTCTTAATATGGAGGATAAAAGACATGTCCTGATCAAAAATAACACCAAGATTTTTAACATTAGAACTGGAGGCCAGATTAATGCCATCCATGGAGGACGAAAGACTGCAAAATGTATTCCCAAGATGCTCAGGTCCAAAAACCAAAACCTCAGTTTTGTTCGAGTTTAAAAGCACAAAATTAAGGGTCATCCAGGTTTTTATGTCTTTAAGACAAGCTTATAGTCCAAGTAACTGATTGGATTCATTGGGTTTCATGGACAAATATAACTATCATCAACAAAACAGTGAAATTTTATTCCATGCTGTTTAATAACTTTACCTAATGGAAGCATATATAAGGTAAAGAGTATTTGTCTAAGCACTGAACCTTGAGGAACTCCATGACTAACTTTGGTGTATGATGAAGATTCATTATTTACATTTACAAACTGGACTCTATCAGATAAATATATTTTAAACCATTTTAGAGCTGTTCCTGTAATTCCAGTATAAAATTCAAATATCAAGTTGAATATTGTGACCAACATGTTATGAAATAGTAAGTCTCACAAATGTAAATACAGTATCTTGTCATGTGTTAGCGCTAAATGATTTGAGCTTGTTTAACATTCTGTTAATGGGTTTAGTACAGGCTGCAATGAAAGGGGTCACAGCTTGTACTACAGATTACTGACACTGATTAGAAAGGGCACCTTTTCATAATGCCCCTGTTGTTTCTGTGCCATGTTGACATTGTAGCTGCTCCTAAATCATAAATACAAAATGGTCCTGCAACTACCTTCAGCGATGATATGCTGAACATCTTAAGCATCACACCCACCAATGGTCAGAACAGTTGGGAACAGAATGCAGCTCCAGACCCAGTTAGGACTGTTGGGCCCCTGGCAGCTTCACAAAAGGAAGATGGGGTGTGCGGGGGTACAGTGAAAGGCAATGAAGCAACGAAAGGGGGATGAAGAGGAGGGAGAATGTATATTTTGAAGCAGAGGGGTTGTCTGCTCTCACTGGCAGCTGATCCCACATGCAGGTGGTCGACTCAGTCGCCAGGCAGATCAAAAAGTCAAGGCCCCGGGTGGACTTCCCTTTGAAATGGGAATGGGGTCTAGATATCAGACAGAAAACATAAGCAAGCTCCCAGCCACAGAACAGCTCCATATTCATGGCCGGGACTGGCAGTGACGGACAGGCAGGCTGGACAGAGCTTCAGCCTTCAGAGAACTCATGCACACTCTGGCCGCTGATTAAGAGATCGGTCTTTAAGCCGAGTTGAGGACGATATTGCAGCTTATGGCTCGATACTGCTCCACGTTACCAAGATACTGACTTCTTCTCTTGAGCGCAAGCTTCCTTGATGTGTGAAAAAGGTCACTTCTCTCGTGACAAATTCCGCTTTTGTTCAGTGCAACGAACTCTCAACAAAACACGTTTCGTTTCACTAAAGTTGTTCTGAAATTGAAATTGAAATTGTTTGACTAACAGGCAAAGGAGGAAAATTTACAACTCCTCTATGCCTCTAGGAAATTCAAACTGCTCAGCGTGTGTTGTTAACTGGAAAGTTTATTCCTTGTTTGCTTGGTAAAACAAGCCAACATGTGAACAACAACATGTGGACCAAAGTGCACGCCCTCAGAAAAGCATCTTAAGAGGCTAAACTTTTTTTTTCCCCGAAAAACCACAAAGTTTTGCCTCTTCTCATTATTTGTGAATATGCACCGTCTTTATGAATGTGTTTGGGATATGAACTACTAAGACATGTTTTAGGTCACAAAATGAAAATCTGTATCAGTGACCTGAGGTGAGATTGGAGTGTTGGAGCGCGGTTGCCAAACAACTGAACAGAAAAAGGATTTTTTTTATTTTTTTTTACTGATTCTTGAAGAAATCAGGAATTTCTTTTTCTACCTTTGAAAATATTTTACCAGTGTTCACACAGTGCATATG